CAGAACTGTTAAACGAAACATGGTATTGTGGTATTATCGAAACATGATATCGTATTGTTATCGAATCATGAATAGTACTGTTATCAAAACATGATAAAGTACTGTATAACGAAATATGATAAAGTACTGTTTAACGAATCATGATATAGAACTCTAATATGTAACATTTTAAAGTATTTTTATCGAAACATGATAAAGTAATGATATAGAAACATGATATATTAAATTTTATATCGAAACAACATATATTACTGTCTAGCGAAACATTATAAAGTATTATTATAAAGTATTGTTATCGAATATAGTACCGTTATCGAAACATGATATAGTACTGTTATCGAAACATGATATCGTATTGTTATCGGAACATGATATAATACTGCTGTTGAAACATGTTATAGTACTGTTTAACGAAACATGATAAAGTTCTGAATAACGAAACTTGAAATACTACTGTTTAACGAATCATGATATTATTAGTTATAAAGATCGTTGACAGGTTATATGGCCCTATATAAACGGCTACTTGTAAATATAATCCGAGCCGTTAGGCGAGGGTTATATTGCAAATAGCCATTTTTATATACGGCCATATAACCTGTCAACAATCTTTATAACGAATTTATAATACAGCAAGCATCATTTTTAGAGAAAAAAATAAGATTTCTTTATAAATCGACAGCAGCCGTGTATATAAAACTATATAAACGTCACGATTATCCAATGAAAAATGACGTTACAAACATGCAGTATAATAAAGAACTCTATAACGAAACATGATATAGTATTGTTATCGAAACAAGATATAGTACTGTATATTGAAACATTATAAAGTATTTAGTATTTTTATCGAAAATGATATAGTACTAATATCGAAACAAGATATAGTACTTTATAACAAAACATGGTAGAATATTGTTATCGAAATATGATATAGTACTGTTATCGAAAAATTATATAATACTGCTATTGAAACATGATATTGTACTGTTTCACGAAACATGATATAGTACTTATAACGAAACATAATAAAGTTTTATTGTCGAAATATCATATATTACTGATATCTAAGCATAAAATAGAACTATTATCTTAGCATTAAATAGAACTATTATCGAAACATAACAAAGAACTGAAAAAAGCGGCGAGTTGCATACCTTTACTGAATATATCAATATACCGGTATATGTGTATCTTTTTTTATTAAAAGCACATATAAAATTTTTAATAAATTTCAAAAACAAAAAACAATGCAGTTTACATTGTTTGGGAGAGGTAAGAGGGTTAAAGAATGAATTAGAAAGGGGGTGGTTATAGTGACCAATGAACGCGCGGATCACCTGTGCTAAAGCAATCGCAACTTTTCGGTCCTATCCGTCAGTCCTCGAACACAATTGTATGAATGCACAGAACGGTGCGGTATTTCGGTCTAACCTACGATAAGAAACTAATCATGTAAACAAATGGTAATTTAATGCTGAAAGTTGTTGACAAGTTTATTTCAAATATTTGTAGTAAAAATCCACCTAAAATAAGTAGATTCATAGCTACAAAATCAAACAATACATTATTTCTATATCTATTATTATGGTTGTAGAAACCGAAACTACAAAAATCCAACCTGTTGACATTTAGGCGGAAAACTGTACATCAGTGGATATATTTAAATTACAAATTGTTATAAGACATAATTATGTTCAATCATAAACCGGAACAGACTACTTTTTCTTTTGAATGTTAAATATATACATCTATATTCGTTCTACATTATCTCTGTTTCTGTTTATATATATATATATAAAAAACATGCGGTAGAACTACTTTCAATCCGTATTGTTTCCGAGGTCATTATAGATAATAGCCGAGGACGTTCCGATTGGTGCTAAAGATAGGTTTGAATCATGTTGTGTTCCATATATATCTTATATGACTGTACTCTTGGTTGTAAATAACGTAATTGCTTTTGTATCATTAAGTTCGTTAATATCTCTGTAAGGGCCATTGTTGTTTACGCTAAGATAAAAGGTGGCTATAAAACTAAGATATACATTGCTTGTATGTAAATAAATATCTTTTAAAAACACAAACATGTATGTATACATTGAATTGAGACATGATGTCTTTGTTAAATTGCATTTTAATAATTTTATAATCTTGCATTTATTTGAGGTTTCAATGTTGTTGTTTTTTGGGGTTTTTTTTTAATTAAGACTTGAACTATAAGTCATTCATGATTGTAATAATATACTGTTCCCATATTTTATCATTACTAGTGACTTATTTTCTATCATTAAGGCCAATAAAACTGATTTTGTAATGAGTTGGTATGTTTTTTAATAGGTAGTTCTAGCTTGTTTTTGCAAAATGAGGTTGACGCTTAACCAAAACAAACGAAAAAAAGAAAGAAAGGCCTAACTGTATCGAATTGTATTACGTTTTAGCTTATATTAGAATATGGAAGAAAATAAACAGCTGATATCGAAACATATAAACACGAAACAGTATTAACATGTAAATGTATTTAAAAATGATAGTAAAACATAATTATTTAAACAGCACTTTGCATTTTTTTCAAGTTTGATTTTTCTTAAAGTGTTGTGGAAAAATATACAGGCATGCAGCTTTTAATTTTTTCTCAACTTTGACTTTTCTTTAAATATTTTGGCTCATCTGGAGGCATGCAGCTTTAAACATGGGATTTAACTCAATACAGGGTTGGAGCAGTACCCCTAGACGCTTGCAGAAATCAATATCGGAAAATAGACAAATATCGCCGATTTTTTAATTTTTCATTCATTATCATACATAAATCGGTGTGAAAAGATGAATGAGCCCTTTTTAAGTTCATTCCGTTGGGTAAAAAGGCAAGATTTTAGTATTTTATCATTCAAGCGCCGTGTCCGGTATATACCGGAATACGGTATTTAGTGTGTTGCTCCAACTCACTCTTAAACATGCCATCATGATACAGTTTTGTTACCAGTAAAATGATTTCCTGCGGGTAAAATTTTTAATGATATAAAGATATTTCATATAACTATTTTCAACATTGTTGGGGGGGGGGGGTAAATAAACGTTTGTATCAGGAATATAGTTGACCATAATCGATCAATATAGAAAAGGGTCTTTGGAAACTGGTGACCGTTGAAGACCGGAGAAGGTCGAACATAAAACAATTATTTCTTTTTAAGAAAATGATTAAAAATAGGCCTACCATTTTATGAATAATTCCGAGCAAAAAAAAATAGATAAATAAAGTAAACACACAAGTTTACGCAGAAAATATCTCTATTAATTATGGCAGATGCCACTACAAATATTTTAATTTTGTAGATTTTTGGTATAAACAATTTATTGTTTGTAAAATTTGAGATAGAAATTAAAGAAACATTGATAATTTTCAAACACATTATTCGAGTTTTTCCACCTTAAACTTTAAAATAATTATGGAAAATTCGAAATATCACGTAATAGCTTTTTATCTTCATTAGGTGTAATTCGGAGTGAATTAAATCCCTAGAGGTAAATCCGAAACGTACCGACAAACGGTATTTAGCTAGATTTTCGAAAAGGTCAGTTAACCAATCATGTACGGTTTACAGATAACATGCTCCTCCATGTACCGAAAACAGGTCACGTGCTCCTCCATGCCTCAAAAGTTAAACGCGTACCAATACCCTGCGGTCTCCAGACCGCAGGGAATAACAGAGGCAGTATAACACGGACTAACAGCAAAAGTTATTCTAACAGGATATAGAACACAGTTGACTGTCGTTCTGAAAATTTTCAGCATTCAGATAAAATCTTAACTAAACAGTTGCTCATTTACCTTGATCATTTCCAGTAAATTCTTGACTGGAAAGTTAGTTAGAAGATTATAATCGTCACTGTTGAGGTCAATTGTCATCACAGTTCGGCATGTAGGACACGAAATCCGCCGTCTCCGTGACGTCCGAAGTTGATGTTGTATTGTGGTACATATACACTCTTCACAAAACGTATGGAGACAGATCAGTACTTTCGGATCTTTAAATTCCCCCATACATATACTGCAGGTGAGGAAATCCTCCATAATGATTTCTTTTATTGTTTTTGGCATATTCAACGGTATTACAAGTGCTGCTCTGAAATAATATAGAAACGAAAGTAATAATCAGTATTTAAGACACAACATTGACGGCATGGTAAATGTTAAAACATCAAGAATGGGGGAAATACTATATTATATAATTTTGTAGAAATTGTGCATAGTATATCACCGAAAACGTGGCAAATAGAAAGGCACACAAGATGTACATATTTTCATTCGAGATGGTGACAAATGTTAACATTGAGAACGTGACAGATGTTAATATTGAGAACGTGAAAGCTGTTAACATTGAGAACGTGACAGGTGTTAATATTGAGAACGTGACAGATGTTAACATTGAGAACGTGACAGATGTTAACATTGAGAACGTGACAGGTATTAATATTGAGAACGTGACAGATGTTAATATTGAGAACGTGACAGGTGTTAACATTGATAATGTGACAGATGTTAATATTGAGAACGTGAAAGCTGTTAATATTGAGAACGTGACATGTGTTAACATTGAGAACGTGACAGACTTTTATATTGAGAACGTGAAAGCTGTTGATATTGAGAACGTTACGGATGATAATATTGAGAAGTTGACAGGTGTTAATATCGAAAACGTGACAGATGTTACTATTGAGAACGTGACAGGTGTTAACATTGAAAACGTGACAGACGTTTATATTGAGAACGTGAAAGCTGTTCATAATAAGAACGTGACGGATGATAATATTGAGAACGTGAAAGCTGTTAATATTGAGAATGTGACAGATGTAAATATTGAGAACAAGAAATATGTTAATATTGAGAACGTGACAGGTGTTAATATTGAGAACGTGAATGCTGTTAACATTAAGAACGTGACAAGTGTTTACATTGAGAACGTGACAGATATTAATCTTGAGAACGTGACAGATGTTAATATTGAGAACGTGAAAGATGTTAATATTGAGAACGTGACAGGTGTTAATATTGAGAACGTGAAAGCTGTTAACATTGAGAACGTGACAAGTGTTAACATGGAGAACGTGAAAGCTGTTAGCATTGAGAACGTTACAAGTGTTAACATTGAGAACGTGACAGATGTCAATATTGAGAACGTGACAAATGTAAACATTGAGAAAGTGATAAATATAAACAGAGAACGTAAAACATGTTTCTACTGAGGATTTTGAAATTAAAAAAAAACATGACATGTAGTTATAAATAATTGGCCAGATACACGCCTGGTAAATGATAGCGCTACCTCTTTCGGTATCCTCTCGAATACGTCAAGTATAAAATTCTTGTAAAGTTTTACAGACCGTTGTACATAACGCTTGGCCGTTTCATATTAGACGTTAATCATGTTCTAACTCTCCATCTGACTTGTCACAAAAAATGTATTAACATATGCTTTACTTTTCTTATTTTTTATGCCTCAAATGCTAATAAATCTGTGTTAAAGCAGAACGCTTCAGATTCATGCTAATTTTCATGAAAATTTAAATAATGTATTTGAATGTATGATATTGTGATATAACCAAATGGAAGTCATTTACACTTTATCAATGGCACTTACAAGCCATGTAAATTATAAAAAAAAGTGGTCAAAATATGCATAAATAGGCCTTACTGCGATAGTAACGCAGTAGAAATATAGTTGTAAATACTAAAAAATCTGTCATTAACCGCACATAACATGTTAAATATTACTTGAATCTTGAATCATTTTACGTTTCCTAAAATCGTAGTACATATTTCTCAAAGTTGATTTTATTGAAATATTTTGACTCATCTGGAGGCATGCAGCTTTAAGGGCAACAAGCTACAGGATAGTGGTTTAATATCCTATAAAATATTGTTTTTCTCCCGGGCGCATGGTTCGTCGTCAACAGTTAAGTTCGGAGAACGATAAAAAGCAATGTCATTAACTAAATTACATTTGTATTATAGTATAAATTAGTAAGCATTTACAAAATCAAACTGGTTTAGAGATTTGCTCAATTTAAATTTGTAAATGCTTACTAACGAGGGGGCGTCGATCGCTGTGATTTGGATTCTTTCATGTAAGGAAGCTATCCAGCTAACTTACTAACGAACACTAAACTATACATAAACTGAAGCTTTAACTTACTTGAAGGTAAAACAATAACGACATATATCTGTCAAATGTTCAAATAATGAAATTTCAATATTCCAAAGAACACTCGAATTAAACCTGAAACAAAATTGAAATCAGAACAGAAAGTGCAAAACACTATAAACATTTTGCACGTATTGAAACTTTACTTAAGTGGTGTAAAGGAAGTATAAAATGCATATCTGATGAAAATTTTAAGATTCGTCCATAATTGAACACTGTGTTATCACGTAAATATCTGACTATCTAGTAATAACTTAAATAATATTTAACTCTTATCAACTACTTTCTGTTAAATTAACAGTGACATGTTTAGAAATTACGTACGATAGTTAAAAATTTTGTCGCAGGCAATAATCAATAATTCATTTGATTAAAGTTACTAAAAAAAAATGATTTTTTTTAACTTTTTAGATTTTTATAAGAAGTAACTTCCACATCGCTTAAAAGTCCCCTTAATTGATGTAAAAGAAACATAAATTGTACCGGTGCAACCTACCTTAATGGTTCCCTCTTAGTCAGTTTTAATTCCCCTCGATAATTTAAACCTCACCAACGGTGGCCAATAGTTTTAACATAGGAAAAAATACCTTCCAACGGCTTGTTGACCTATTTTTGTATTTTCTGATCGCAAGATCAGTAAATACATAGCAAACATCCACGGTCTAACACAAAATTTCCTAACAGTCCTAACAACGCAAAGTAGTTCTCACTCAAAACTGCTTAAAAACCAGCAATTTAAAAGAAAGAACAATTTTTTGTTAGAAGTGTCCAACAAATTACTACACATTCAAACTTTAAAAGTAGCGTTGGCTTATAGAATTGTCAATAAATGCACACTCACAAATTACGCGGATGAATATGATTTTAATCAATGAAAATGCTATTTTTAGCGATGTCGATTACCGAATACTACACAAATAAATCTGACTGCCGAGTAGTTGAATATATAGTTTCTACATGTTGGACTGTTTGGGCGAGAAGATTTTTTGCTAAATTATTTACTTCAATTTTAAACAACAGGTTTACCTGAACAAAATACCTCGAAATTACCCTAACCCGAAATGCAATGGAAATTCTAAATTTAGAATGACTTGATTTTAGTCAGCCTCTGTTTTTATAACTTCTCCGTGGTGCAGGGGTAACGCGCTCGTTTAATGTGTGAGAGGTCTGGAGTTAAAATCCCAGTCGAGTCAACATTTTTTTAAATTCTTTTTTTAGTGTCTTTGTTAAGGAAATAGCCACGATATGCAAGGATAAAGTATGGCTATCATAAAAAATGAACATAAATGATTTTTTAGCAACGGATATACATGTATACACTCATTTATAATCCATATGTGTAATGCATGATCAACAACACACTTGTGTAATTGTCCCTTATTATGTTATCGCTATTAGCGAAGACCCCCTCTAAAGGTATCTGTTCACACTTACTAACAATATGACACTGGTTACATTACCATGTTGATCATGTTGAGCATAATTGTTTATTGTACAATAATTGTAATATCTATTTTAATAAAAAAAATACAGATTTTATGAATATTGTTTTCTTTTCTTTTTTTTTTGTGTTTTATGTGCTATTTTAATACTGAGTTTTAACGTTTACTACCATTTTAAGAATTCAATTGTCATATTGACCGACGATTATAAGTAAAAACTTAACTGGAAAAAGTCAGTAAATTATGGTTAAACTTTTAATATATAATATTGTTTATTCTTAAAACATATACATGTACATTTGTATTTTTCTTTATCATTTTTTAAATTATCAATCAATTGAATAGTTCATAAAAACTAATTTGTAACTTAGAAATATTCCTCAGAATCTTTACTAAACATGAATAAGAATAACAAATTAAATTAAATAAAATGTTTCAAAGTTGATTGTGTCATATTAATACCATAAAATGTACCTTTTTAATTCAATAATTGTACATATTTGTTGTTTTTATCTCATATAAATACATGTAAAATGAAACATGCTGTTGTTCTTTAGAATTGTATGTTGATGTTTAGTAATAATAAATAAATTTGAGAGTTGATCTGTGTTTATTAATTATTGTAACCAAACTAAGTGACAAACATTCATTTTGAAAAAAACTTATATAACTGTAAATATTTGTTCTGTTCTGTAACGATATCAAACATCTACTCCAAAACCGGGAGAGACCAGACAATAAACGTGTGGTACTATTCGCCGGTCACTAGTAAATTCCGGTCAAAATAGACCAGGAGAGACCGGGAATTACCGATAGGAATACATCCCTCTATAAATAGATTTTCGGAATATATAGGTCACCAACTCATCATTCTATTCAGCTTTCGGATACATGTACCATAATAACCCACTGTGTACTACAAAATGATAAATAGAAATACCCCGAAGAGCGCGATTTATTGACGGAAAAGGTTATTTCATTTGAAAATGTTTGCATTGCGAAATTCTCCAGTTCGCTATTCATTGTATATATCGTGACATTTCATTTTTAATTAATAACAAGTAAAATGGTTTCCTGCGGGGAACGTTTTTAATGATATAAATATATTTCATTTAACTATTTTCAATGGGGGGGGGGCGAGGATAAATAAACGTTTGTATCAGGAATATAGTTGACAGTAATCGATTACTTTGGAAACTGGTGACCGTTGATGACCGGAGAAGGTCGAACATAAAACAATTATTTCTTTTTTAAGAAAATAATTAAATAGGCCTACCATTTTATGAATAATTCCGAGCAAAAAAAATAATAAAGTAAACACACAAGTATTTATTATGGCAGTTGCCACTACGAATATTTTAATTTTGTAGATTTTCAGTATAAACAATTTATTGTTTGTAACATTTTGTGATACATATTAAAGAAACATTGATAATTTTCAAACACATCATTCAAGTTTTTCCACCTTAAACGGTAACATAATTATAGAAAATTAAAACTATCACGTAATAGTTTTTTGTTCTTAATTAGGTGTCTTATTCCCTAGAGGATTATCCGTAACGTACCGGCAAACGGTATTTATCCAGGTTTCCGAAAAGGTCAATGAACCAATCATGTACGATTTACAGATCACATGCTCCTCCATGTACCGAAAACAGGTCACTTGCTCCTCCATGCCTCAAAAATTAAACGCGTACCAATACCCTGCGGTCTCCAGACGCGTACCAATACCCTGCGGTCTCCAGACCGCAGGGAATCAAGCACCCTCATACTGATCGGAATGATCGGCTTTTATTATGTCCGACTAAAAGGCTCGAGAAGTTGCTGCCGCCCTTTCTCATTCCATAAGAGGCGCCGCGCCGAGGACGCCAAAAATAAACTTACAGGAAAACAAATACAGATATACAGTACGATTTAGGTTGCAAACATCAGAAAATACCACAGAGCTTGCAGCCCTTTGATTAAACAATTGAATTTTCCCTGTTATCTTTATTTAAACCAGTACATGTACATCATCTGAAGGTCGTGAACCTCGTAACATGAAAACTATTAAAATGAAATATGAATGAACCGAGTAAATGTCGGCTAACTTACTAACGAACACTAAACTATACATAAACTGAAGCTTTAACTTACTTGAAGGTTAAACAATAACGACATATATCTGTCAAATGTTCAAAATAATGAAATTTCAATATTCCAAAGAACACTCGAATTAAACCTGAATCAAAATTGAAATCAGAACAGAAAGTGCAAAACACAATAAACATTTTGCACGTATTGAAACTTTACTTAAGTGGTGTAAAGGAAGTATAAAATGCATATCTGATGAAAATTTTAAGATTCGTCCATAATTGAACACTGTGTTATCACGTAAATATCTGACTATCTAGTAATAACTTAAATAATATTTAACTCTTATCAACTACTTTCTGTTAAATTAACAGTGACATGTTTAGAAATTATGTACGATAGTTAAAATTTTGTCGCAGGCAATAATCAATAATTCATTTGATTAAAGTTACTAAAAAAATGATACATTTTTTAACTTTTAGATTTTTATAAGAGGTAACTTCCACATCGTTTTCCAAATCCGAAATCTATAGAAAGCTGTATTTATTATAAGGTGCACATCATATTTGCACTGTCGATTGCATTCACGTTTACGGTGCCCCTGTCATGACTAACAATATCTCTACTACAACGAGAACTTGAAAATAATCCGAGCACGTTAAACAGAATTTTCCTCATATTTATTTATAGTACGGAACAGTCCATCTTAATAATATATAGGTAAAATAAAAGTTGAACACCCTCTTAATTAAATGCGATTGACTTATAATTGTAAAAATTAGTAATAAATGTCGCAATAGCTCAATCAGTATGGCGGTAAGTTCAGAAGGCAGAAGGGTAACAGGCTTCAAAAAAGATTTTGGGTTTGTTTGTTTATTTTTTTCCGTCCTTCATGTACGAAACTACATAATGATAATGCGTTTTTATTTGATTGATTTATTTATGTTACTTTTTAATCGAAGTATCTTCATCTCATTTATTTCAACTTCTTTCTTATTTTTTTTTGAATTATTAATTTCTTATTTTAAATTTATGATAATTAAACAAATTTAATGAGAAACAAAAATACAATGTCGTTAAGTTCATATTCGTAACCGTATATTTATTTTGCCAGACAGTAAGTAATTAAAAAAAGAAATACTTAAAAATGAAACAGTTTCCACCACTAGTTGAATTCACATTCATATTAAGCGGTCTTACTTACTGTGCTATAGAGTCAATCGAAGATAATATCTCATAAAATAAAATTTGTAGATTTAACAATTTGTTTAGTCACTTGCAGTTTACCCATGTTTACCTATGTTAATCTTTTAATGGGCTGTGTTTGTATTTTTAGAACTGACGAAAGTTCTGTTTATCGTTCTCAGACTATAAATACCAAATACGCTGCTTGTCTTTAATACTTAGTCAACAACTGCGGACCAGCTGCCGGTGTCCTGACTAATGCCGAGGGGAGTGGCCCTACAAAGTACATGTAGGCGCTTGGATCGACGAGGACGGTGTGCTAGGGTGCGTGAGCCCCTAGCACGGTTAGACGGCTTGAAAGGCAGGCCTATTGCTGGCGCAAACAGCCCTTTTTAGCGCTAACCACCTTTCCTATTGTCACAGGTATTGACATTTATGTTCTCTTTGACCGCCGTACAGAGACCTACTTTTGGCTCAAAATTCATATCTTTGGCTAATACTCCGTGGAAATTGCATGGAGGTAAATTATCACCACTTTGTGCTTCAAAATT